ACCAATGATGTCGAAAACTAAATTGGGTTGGACGATTCACGGACCTCTAAATAATGTTGTCAATCCTCATTTAGAACATGTACATTTATGCTGCACATCAGAAAAAGATGATGAACTTCACTTATTAGTAAAAGATAGTTTTCGTTTGGATGATTTTGGTATCAAAATTGATGATCATGCCGTCAAATCTGTCGAGGACAAAAGAGCATTGGACATCATGAAAGCGACATTAAAGAAAACTGGTAACCATTATGAAATAGGTCATCTTTGGCGAGACAAAACAGAAACGTTGCCTGATAGTCGCCAGATTGCACTTTTTTGTATGGAGCGAAAAATGAAAGCGGATGAAAAATTTGCAGAAGAATATCAACTGAAGATACATGAATACTTAAATAAAGGTTATGCAAGTAAACTTAATAGGTCTCAGATAACAGACACACCAAAGACTTGGTATCTTCCACATTTCGCAGTATGGAACATAAATAAGCCAGGAAAGATTCGATTAGTTTTTGATGCCGCTGCAAAAAGCCATAATGTTAGTCTTAATAATTTCCTGCTACAAGGTCCAAATTTGGTTCCATCACTCATTGCAGTGTTGTGGAGATTTAGACAAGGTCCAGTTGCCGTGAATGGTGATATAAAGGAGATGTTTCACCAGGTCCACATTAGGAATGAAGATAGATGCGCTCAACGGTTCCTATGGCGTGACTTTGGTTCAAAACAACCACCTGACGTTTACCAAATGAACGTGATGATATTTGGTGCTGTTTCATCACCTTCAAAGGCTCAATTTGTTAAAAATAGTAACGCAGAACTTTATGAAGCACAATTTCCTGGCATCCAACGGAAGATCAAGAAGCAACACTACGTCGATGATTACCTGGATTCATTTGTTTCTGAAGCTCAAGCTATAGAAGCTGTTAAAAATATTATATACGTTCATTCACAAGCTGGGTTTGAGATGACGAAATGGATCAGTAATTCCCCTGCTGTTATTTCATCAATACCTGCCCATTTAAGAGCAGTAAATCCAGAGGCCCTCAAAATTGACACAGAAAAAGTTGAGCGTATTTTAGGTCTTTCTTGGTCACCAGTTAATGACAATTTTATATTTTTATTTAATTTAAAGAAAGTTACTCCCGAAATTTGGAAACGTTTAAGATTTCCTACTAAAAGAGAAGTCCTCCAAGTAACCATGTCAATATTTGATCCACTAGGGTTCCTAGCACCTGTAATGGTAAAAGCAAGAATACTAATGCAAAATATATGGAAAAGCAATATCGCCTGGGATTCTGAACTTACAGAAACTCTTTTTGTTTCATGGAAAACTTGGATTCATGAACTGCAAAGCTTAATGCCTATAAATTTTCCTCGATATTACTTCCCTTCTTTAACTAATATTCCATTTGTTGATCTACATCTATTTAGTGATTCTAGCGAGAAAGCTTTGGCTTGCGTTGCTTTCTTGAGACTCGAAGTAAATGAAAACTTTTATACTTCCTTTGTCACTTCTAGATTTAAAGTCGTTAAATTAGGTCAGCAAACAACAATACCTAAATTAGAACTTCAAGCTTGTGTATTGGCTCTTAGGGTTTCGAAATCTATCATTTCTGAACTTGACTATGAAATACGACAAGTCCATTACTGGACTGACTCTCTTGTTGTGCTTCATCAAATCAGGCCTGAGTCTAAACGTTTTCCTGCCTTTGTTGCATGTCGCTTGGGAGAGATCCATGAAAATTCCAGAAGTGAGCAGTGGCGTTGGGTGTCAAGTCAAGAAAACGTAGCTGATTTAGCAACCAAGGAGTCTAACCCAGTAGATTTATCAGCTCAAAGTCTTTGGTTGAATGGTCCTAGTTTTCTTAAAAAACCCAAAGAATGCTGGCCAGTAGAGCCAAATACTCGTTGTCACCAGGAAGAAAATATTTTTCTAATATCTGAGAGATCATCTGAATTAGAAATTTTGCCAGATATTTCCCGTTTTTCAAAGTATTTGAGATTAATTAGGTCGACTGCGTGGGTCCTTCATATCGTCAAATGTTTACGAATGAGAAAACAAGATCGTCCAACTAAAATGTCCTTAGATGTTGATTCAGTAGAAGCAGCTGAGAAAATGTGGATTCGCCAGTGTCAAAGAAATAGTTTTCCAGACGAGGTACAATTGTTAAAAAACTCTATATCTTTATCCAAATCCAGCAGGTTGTACAAATTGTCTCCATTTCTCGATGATAATGGTATCATTAGGCTTCAGGGTAGAATTCAAGATGTAAATATTAATTTTAATGAAAAATTTCCAATTATTTTAGACTCCAGTCATAGATATACGGTTTTATTAATTCAAAAATTTTATGAAGAAGCAGGTCATATTGGATTTGAAACAGTAGTTAATAATATTCGTTCTAACTTTTGGATTTTAAAATTAAGACCAGCTGTCAAAAGATGTTTTAGTAATTGCCAAGATTGTAGAGTTAGAAAATGCACGCCAGTAGCCCCTGAAATGGGAGCTTTGCCAACTGAAAGATTGGAAAGTTTTATTCCTCCATTCACTTATGTAGGAGTTGATCTTTTTGGCCCCGTAACAGTGTCTATTGGTAGGAGGATTGAAAAAAGATATGGGGTGCTTTTTACTTGTCTCACGGTAAGAGCTGTTCATATTGAATTGGCAGCTAGTCTAGATACGAGCTCAACTATTCTGGCCATGAGAAGATTTATGTGCAGAAGAGGTGACCCTAAAGAATTTTGGAGCGACAATGGTACGAATTTTGTTGGGGCTGAAAGAGAACTACGTGAATGGTCTGAAAATTTAAATCAAACTGAGTTGAACAATTATCTTGTGGGAAAAGGAATTCGCTGGAAATTCAATTGTCCCCTGGCCAGCCATCAAGGAGGTATATGGGAAAGAATGATTCGGTCAGTTAAGACGGCCCTGAAGGTAACATTAAAATGTGCAAATCCAAAAGAGGAAGTTCTTTTGACTTTATTATTAGAAATAGAGTACATTTTAAATTCTCGGCCTTTGACGCACATTTCCATTGATCCTTCAGAACCTGAGGCTATAACACCAAACCATTTCTTGTTACTCCGTGCAGGAAAGGTAAATAATTATGAAGTAGGTGAAAAAATTTCACCAAAGCAATGGAGAAATGCGCAAATTTTAGCCAATTCTTTTTGGCGCAGATGGGTCAAAGAATACAGACCGACTCTAATACAACGTCGAAAGTGGCATGAAAAAACGAGACCTCTTAAATTGGGTGATCTTGTACTAATTGTGGATGAGAAACTTCCTAGAAACCAGTGGCTTTTGGGACGAGTATGTAAAGTATATCCAGGGAAAGATGGTACCGTTAGAATGGCTCAAGTCAAAACTAAGTTGGGTCATTATACCAGACCTGTCACTAAGCTGTGCATTCTGCCGGGCCTGGAGGATGTTACTAACAGCAGCTAGTATACTCGACTAGTTATTACTTATTCACTATGTTCATTTTTATTATTATCATGTTTGCTATGTATTTTTGATTGCATATATATTTGTATGTCAATGTAATAAAATTACATATTGATTAATACTTGCATTTTGATTATAAATTTAGTATTGTGCAAGTAACAACTAGTTTTAACAACTCTTAAAATGAAGTGGTTCGGCTCTAAAATTTACGAACAATATTATTTTACCAAATTTATTAATAATAAAAAAAAATAAATTCTTCAGTTTTTTCTTCTTTAATTTTCCGTTAGCTCCTTGTCTCCGCTTGTTTCTATTGCCTCTTACCTATGTGTTTGTCTCTGATTATCTGCTCGTCTCTACCCGTCTGCTTGTCTCTACCTGAGCTGCTTAGACAATGGTATTACCGCGTATATTATTAGAAATTTTGGCTTGTATTTTATTTCTCAATTTTCTTCGTCAATAAATTAATTTGAGAATTGGTTTCAACGTAATTGTAATTGATTTTTAATAGACTATTTGCTTGTTTCCGTTAAAAAGTTATATATTATACTTTTTATAATTGTTTAAACTTTTATTTTTATATTTTTTAAAGTTTTATAAATGATATTAGCAACAGTAACTGCTCTAATTTATTTAAAAAATGTCTACCAAATCAAAGGTCTTCATCTTTTATAGTTTTCAAATTAATTTGGATATAAAATTAAATGCAATTAAACTCCCACCTTAAAGAACTTCACCTTTGGCTGTTAGTTTTAATAATTTTATTAACTTTGCATCAGTATAAAATTTAAAATTTGTTGGTTATAAAAAGGTTCCTTTATATTTTAATTTTTTTCCCATTATTTACAAGATGATTCACCAAATGTTTCTCTCATTGTAAAATAAAGAAAAATGAAAATGATTACTCCTTTGGCGAATACAACAACACGCATTAAATTACATCAATAGAGAAAAAGCAGAGAAAATTATTTCAACATTAACTTGATTTTGCTTACTAATGATAACGTCATTCTTAGACCGATTATTAGCAATTAATTGACATTCTTGATTTTTGTGTCCAATGGAATTTGCAGATGAGTTAAACCTCCTCGCCCTTAGAGCTGGTCGTCAAGTTAGGACAGAAGAGTCATAAAGAAATGCCATCTACACTTAAAAAGAAAATTCAAAGCTCGCTTGTAATACCTATAGTAAAGAGACCTATTTTAAAAAAAGGAAATAATTACAAACTCAAATATGATCAAAACGTAAAATAAGGAAAAATAAAATAAGATTTCAAACCCATGTTTGAAATATGCAGAGGTTTAACCCTGTTTTTCTTTGGATATAAAGCAATGCCTCTTGCAGTATTTACCACAGGAATATTTTTGTTACAGGTGAGAAACGGCCGCTCGTGTTATTGTGACACATGGCTTAGAATTTTTAATCTTCTTTTCTTTATTTTATATCTTGGTCTTATTTGAGTATTGAAATTATTTCTTTTTTATATCATTATAAGTTAAGGACTTTTATTTTCGCTTCACCCTAAAAAAAATTTAAAAACATTTATCTTTTTCAGATAAAAGGCATGTATGTTTTCCTAGAAACCAACTCAAACAGAATGATTCGTTACATAGAGGACGAAAGCAAAAAATCAACTGTATTTGACGTGAGAGAAGTGTGCATCAGGTTTACGTTGGAAAATGTCTCAGCTTGCGCATTCGGTTTGGAAGGAAAAAATTTCGATCAACCTTATTCGGATTTTAGAGAACTGGCTGATAAATTTTTATCACCGGAAAGTATGAGCAAAATTAAATTTATAATCTTGGTTGTCTGTCCTTGGATAGCTAAATTTATGAAAATGAAGTGAGTATAAATAAATATTTCATCTAAATGTTAACAAAAACCTTATCGCCTGATTTGTGTTCAACCGCTCGATATACCCGATATAAGTAGGTAGGCGTACCGTATTGTTACGATAGTCTAATTTATTTATAGTTTATTTATTTAAAACACACTATTTACAATTTATTTATGATGTACTATTTAATTTATATAATACTTAGACCCTTACTAACAATTCTAATTTATTTATTACACTTTAACTTTTCATTACAATGTTCTATACTAAACTAAACTGTGCGCCGATGAGTCGGCTATTTATATTAAGTCCAACTCTGCTACTAGAAGTTTGCAGACGGTCTCGAAAATTCCATCTCTGACTCAACGGCACACTTCGCCCGTTCTACCCGTTTCTCAAGCCTCAGCGGCATTCCCAGAACATTCTGTCGCCTCGAGCATAAGTCGAGGCCAGCTGAAGGTCGCGCTTGCTTTAGACACAGGGTAGGCTTTAGGAATTTCATGACATTACCCCCTCCTTAAGAAATAGTTTCTCCTGGAACTAAAACTGAATGGTTGTATTTGCAACTGGATCCTCTTTTACAATTCCCAGTTGAATGGAAGTAACAAGGGACAGTCTTTGTTATAACCTGAACGCTGGGAGAATGCCTGCAGACCAGTATTTCAACCTGGGTATCTTGAAAGATTACTTTCATCACATTTCTAATGATCCTACAATTCAGCTGGTTGATCCCTATCTTTGGCATAGCTAGTTTCTGTATATTGGACTCCAGTACATGCTCTCTCAGACTGAGTAATGCTTCCTATACATCCTGATAGGTGGATCGATCTCGGAAGGTGTTCTTTGTTACCAAATATAAAAGATAACGCGATCCATCTTGAAGTTTTAATGGCCTTCCAGGGGCTGGTAACTGATCTTGAAGTTCTGGCAATCGACCAAACTTCTTCCGGAATACAGATGCCAGACCTCGAGTGTCGTAGATGTTGACGGAAGTGCTATGGACCAGCGAGTAATCTTTAGGAACCGTGAGTAGGTCTTGTTGTTGCTCGGTTGTAACACCATATCTTGCTTTTCCGGTACTTTCATATGTACCCATAAATTCTTCAGAGACAAGGTCAGGTGTTTCTTGGAGCTGGTTTACTTCTTTTTCCTCCTCACGGTTACCCATAAATGGCGCCAGCCGGTTTTGGTGCACTACCTCTGGTTTACCATTCGGGATCTTACTTATACGGTAAATGACATCATTGATTTTTCTTGATGAGGTACGGGCCTTCCCACGACCTTTGAAGCTTTGGAGAATAACCCTTTTGTCTTTTTGGGTTATGGAGCCAGACTTTGTCGCCTTTCTTGAAACATCCTTCTGTGGCTTGGGTATCGTATCGCTTCTTTATTCTGTCACTGGCGATTTGAAGATGCGAGTGGACCAATTCATGCATATCGTCTATTGTTCTTCGTAACTGAATCACATAATCTTCACCAGCTACATCTTCTCCAGGTCGGCATCCAAACTCGAGGTCGCACGGTAGTTTTATCTGACGCTCAAACAGGACCTTTGCTGGTATTTGGCCTGTTGATTCATTGACAACGGATCTATAAGCCATTGCAAAGAGCGAAAGATACTGATCCCAATCTCGCTGATGGTTTGAAACCACTTTTGACAGATATTTTTCAATGGTCTTATTCATTTGCTCTACCCATTCCATCACATTGTGGGTGCAATGCTGTGGTTCTGGTTTTCTTAATGCCTAGTCTGTCACAAATTCCACGGAAGAGTTGGCTTTCAAAATTTCTGCCTTGGTCACTGTGTATCGCCAAGGGCACTCCAAATCGACAAAGAAACTCTTATTAACACATCTGCAACAGTTGCGGCCTCTTGATTTGGAATGGCGTAGACTTCCACCCACTTCGTGAAATAATCCATAACCACCATCATGTATTTATTACCATTCTCGTTCGTGGGGAATGGTCCAGCAATATGTAAGGCAATCCTCTCAAATGGGCTACCAACGTTGTATTGCTTTATGGGAGCCTTCCTTTTTCGCTGAGAGTCATTACTTATAGCACAGCTGGTACATTTCTTAAACCAGTCCTTTATCATCGAAACTATTTATTCAATAAAACCTTTCCCGAACTCTCTGAAGAGTTTTCCTAACACCGAGATGTCCTCCTGATGGACTGTCGTGTAACTGACTTCAACTTCTTCAACTTCAACTACTTTATTTCTTGGAATGACCAACTGTCTTCTGTTTTTGGAACCATCATCACTTTCAAGTACACGTTTTAGTAAGCCATCTTTTAGGATAAAGGAGTCCCACTGAGCTCAATATGATTTAACTAAGGGAGAGAGTTTTGATACTTCTTGACAAGTAGGTCGACGATTTTCCTCTTTCCATTGTGGCACCTTCTTTAAAACGATATCGTTCTCTTGTTCTTCCCTAATTTTAGCAGGGGCCCACTCATCGTTGACTACAGTTGTTCTTAGTAATCCACTTGCTTTGGATTCCGCTATGTTGCAGTGGGAGCACTCTGCTGGACACGGTCTTCTAGAAAGAGAATCGAAATTTCTGTAGCTTATTCCGGATCTATGTTCGATCTTAAAGTCGTACTCTTGAAGTCGTTCAATCCATCTGGCGATTTGACCCTCCTGGTTTTTGAACTTCATTAACCACTTAAGGGCGGCATGATCGGTATGGATTAAGAATGTCCTTCCATATAGGTGTTGATTGAAGTGTTCCACTCATTTAACAACTTCCAGGAGTTCTCTTCTGGAAGAAACTTTATTATCTAAACAAGAAATGTCAGAAGAAATATCGGTTTTCATGGAAGACATTTTATTTTCCAAAGAAGAAATTTTAGATCAGATCAGAAAATAGATACGTTTCCGGATCCAAACCTTCACCTTCTAGTGATTCTTTAAGCCTCTATGCCAGTTCTGATTTCTTCCATGTCGTCTGCAACTCACGATCTTCTAACACCCAACTTAGCTCGGTCACTTTTATATCACACAGTCTTTTGGCCACTTCTAACACCAATGTTACGATAGTCTAATTTATGTATAGTTTATTTATTTATTTAAAACACACTATTTATAATTTATTTATGACTTACTATTTAATTTATATAATACTTAGACACTTACTAACAATTCTAATTTATTTATTACACTTTAACTTTTCATTACAATGTTTTATACTAAACTAAACTGTGCGCCGATGAGTCGGCTATTTATATTATGTCCAACTCTGCTACTAGAAGTTTCTAGACGGTCTCGAAAATTCCATCTCGGACGCAACGGCACACTTCGCACGTTCTACCCGTTTCTCGAGCCTCAGCGGCATTCCCAGAACATTCCGTCGCCTTTAGCATGAGTCGGGGCCAGCTGAAGGTCACGCTTGCTTTAAACACAGGGTAGGCTTTAGGAATTTCATGACAGTATTTTTCTTAGCTGTGAAATATTTTATATTTCGCCTATTCCTTGATTGTCTACAAGAATATATGTCAAATAGAAGTTCATTCCGAAGGTGTAGGTATCTATTGGCTGAAGGTACTAGCAAAACTAGTGCAAAGAATTACAGACATTTTTAATTTACTGTAACACTCGAAGCAATTAAGGTATCACTTCGTCCTTGAAAAATAAATTGATAACTTAACTAACAGACACATCATAAATAAATGTAAGATATCTACTTCCTAATTCATATTTGGCTCATATTGATAATTTCAAGTCAAGAATATTTTAATGAAATAAAATAAAAAAATAAGTTAAGCCATATGTCACATAATGCGAGCAATCTTTACCCTCCGGAAAACAACTACTCCTTTGGCTAATTCCGCAACATGCACTGAATTACACCAAAAGAAAACAGCAGAGAGGAAAAAGTTTTTAACATTAAAACATTTTTCTTGTTAAGGAAAACGTCACTCTTTGATCGATTTTGTTCTTATTAGGACTCATCAGTAAGAAATATATATGGATTAAAATTTTTCTCTCTTATGGCCGGTTGTTGCGTAAGGATAAGAAGTTACAAAGTAACTTCATCTACACGTACGAGGTAAATCAAAGTTTGAGTATTAAAAATAATTTGCAATCTTTGCTATTTTCCGTTGGTTATAATTAGTGAGCAGAATATATACAAAATGCATATAAGTATATGCATTTTTTTCATATTTTAGTAAACTTCAGAAAATATTAAATTTTTTCGAAAAATAATTATTACTTATTAGGAGGGATTTATCAACAGAATATATGAATTTTGCACTTACCTAAAGAAGGATTTTGTATTTACCTACTTTAGGGTATTGTTATTGAAACAAGTAAAGTACCTACCTACAATGCAATAAAACAGTTTTAAAATTTCCAGTTATTCCTTCCAAATGATCTACCTAACTATCATTAAATATTTAGATTTTATAGCGTAATTTTAATTCAGTTTAAAGATAGAGTTAAGCGAGAGAGTATGGTAGATATTCTGCTGAAGTCTTGTAGTGACAAGAATTTGTTCGTGGATTAAGGATTACAGCACCCTCTTATAATTTTCGAACAAGGATATCTCAAAAAGTATTTTTTAAAAAATTAAAATTTTGGAAAAATATATTAGGCAATAATATCTAGAATATGCATATATTTTAAATTTTTATTTCCTTCCAGTTTCTGAGAAAAAAAAAAACAAAGCGCTTTAAATTTTGAAATATCATAATGAAAATAAAGGGCGCATACTAGTTCGCTCCCGCGGTCTGTCGAGCTTGTTAATCGTATACTAGTTCGCTCCAAAGGTACTATACTAATTCGCTCCGGTTTATCTACCGCCCTCAGATAGATTACAAAGGGGTCGATTAGCCCCCAGGTAGGTTCTTGTGTTGGAACATTAAAAAATAAAAAAAATTGTTTTATTTAAAAAAAAAAATTATTTATTTACCAAAACTAAAATATATACATATTAAAATAATATAATTATAATGCAATATATCGGGTACCTACGAATATTTGAGTGTTCCTAAAAATACTATTATTTAAAAACTATTTTTTTATCCTCTTATACCTATGAGACATAATTTTAACAAAATCAAATATAGTATAGGCATTGTCATTTTAATTTAACAGAGAAATTTGTTACTCTGCAAATTCTTTCCTCAAACGTGCTTCTCTCCGATACACTTTTTTTGGTAAACTTAAACTTTTAATCTTTATGTAAGTATTTATTTGAATATTTTTTAAAATCTCTAAAAACTGAAAAATATTTGGATGTGGAGAATAAATAGAGCATTAAATTTTGCATTAAAACTTTCACAAGCGTTGGTGGTTCTCTGAATTGAGGAACTGTGTTCAGCCCACATGGAAGGAGGAAATAATGCATCGTCAGCAATGTAATTATCTACCAGATAATCCGAAAATTTAACTATAGGTTCTGTGTTTGGCATTATTGCAGCTAAATTAATAGCGAAACAATCCCCAACCATTTCTGGGTTCAAAAATGGTAGCCCAAAAATATATGTTAAGTAATTCCCAATATCAGAATTTTTGGAATACTCTGAGGCCAATCCAAGACTCTGTATTTTTCGCCACCTGAAAAAAATAATATTGATTCTAAGTGAGGTGCTAATCTTTAAATCAATAAATAGTGTTTTAAAATTGTGTATCATAAATTGTTAGCAAACGGGGTAGGCCACCGGTAACGCCTAGGTCTGGAAAGCTCACACTGTTTTTTAAAAATCGGTTTTTATTACGAGATGGAACTATCAATATACCTATGAAATAGGCTTGTTTCTGAAACTAGTTTTATGGATAATATTATGTACCTATTTATTTTTTAGATATTGCCTAATGTAAGACCCTATTAAAATATTATTTAGGTATATGTAATGTATAATGTACAATAGTAACTGTGATACTCAAAATACTGTCAGAGTTTGCTTTTTTTTCGAAAGTATCTGCTTCTCTTCCGGTTTTTCCACGTACTTGACATTTATTTTATTTAAAGAAATTAAAATAAAAAAATTAGGTTAGAGTACTAAGTGAGCTTAAATAATAAAATCCTCTTCTACGATGTTTGACTTTTTTAACAAATTTATAATAATTGTTTTATTATGTTCTCTTTTACAGCAATTATTAAACTGTTATTTAAAATTCCCAAATTATCGCAGAGTTTGATTTAACACTTAACATCTTATGAAACACCTAATCGAAAATAATCATAAGGCGTGTTGTATAAATATTTTATTATTTATAAACTGCGTAAACTACCGACGGGTTAAATATTAAATTTAGTTCAGAACAATCTTCTTTTACAAACTGAAGGGCACTTTTGTACGATTTCTCCTCCTTATTTGGTAAAAGAATAAAAACCAATGGTACATAATGTTCATTTTCGAGTAGTCCGTGGATGGTAAAAAGTTGGTAAAAAAATTTCCTGCAACATTTAAATGTTCCGTCAACGTACACACTTGTTGATTTACACAAAAACTTGAAATTTGTTTCAGATGCAAAAATGACTATATTAGTGTCAAAATCATTTTTAACTAAAAAGTTTTCGTTTTTATAATAATAATACTCTCCCTAATTCACCCCCTTATGAGTGAATTTCAACCCCTGAAGTCGACTGAACGACTTGTGTAGGAGAAGGGACGGCTATTATTATTATTTGCCGTGGCGCCACTATCATTTTATTTAAGGTTTCCTGCACTTCTTGCAGAGAAGTTGGTGTTTTTGGGAGCACGTTCATTCTGTTTTTATACATATTTTTTCGAATTAAGTGAGTGTCCTTCCTGGAAATAAATCATCCCTCATAAATTTAGTGCCGGAGCGAACTTACCTATGACCTTTTCGGGTCGGGGATTAAAATCTGACCGCCGGAGCGAACTAGTGAGTTCCGAAAATAAATTCATTCCTCAACAGCACTATTCCTAATATAATCCCCAAATTTAAGCTCTTAATCTCTTGTTAATGATTATTTAAAATTCGCCGAAATTAGTGGCTAAAACACCTCGTTAAGTGCTATTTTCTGGTGTAAACTGGTGTAAACTGGTGTAAACTGGTGTAAACTGGTGTAAACTAGTGTAAACTGGTGTAAACTGGTGTAAACTGGTGTAAACTGGTGTAAACTGGTGTAAACTGGTGTAAACTGGTGTAAACTGGTGTAAACTGGTGTAAACTGGTGTAAACTGGTGTAAACTGGTGTAAACTGGTGTAAACTGGTGTAAACTGGTGTAAACTGGTGTAAACTGGTGTAAACTGGTGTAAACTGGTGTAAACTGGTGTAAACTGGTGTAAACTGGTGTAAACTGGTGTAAACTGGTGTAAACTGGTGTAAACTGGTGTAAACTGGTGTAAACTGGTGTAAACTGGTGTAAACTGGTGTAAACTGGTGTAAACTGGTGTAAACTGGTGTAAACTGGTGTAAACTGGTGTAAACTGGTGTAAACTGGTGTAAACTGGTGTAAACTGGTGTAAACTGGTGTAAACTGGTGTAAACTGGTGTAAACTGGTGTAAACTGGTGTAAACTGGTGTAAACTGGTGTAAACTGGTGTAAACTGGTGTAAACTAGTGTAAATCGTTGCAAGAAACGAATGATGACTCATAGTGTACGATATGATAGTTACAGACGCGTTACAACAGAAAGCAGCACTTAACGAGGCGTTTTAGCCACTAATTTCGGTGAATTTCAAAAAATCAATTATAAGAGATTAAGAGCTTAAATTTGGGGATTGTATTAAGAATACTGCTGTTGAGGAATGCATTTATTTTCATCATGATATTTCAAAATTTAAAGCCCTTTTATTTTTTTTTCTTGGAAACTGGAAATAATTAAAACTTTAAAATATAAGCATATTCTAGATATTATTGCCTAATTAATTTTTTAAAATTTTAATTTAAAAAAAATTACTTTTTGGGATATGCTTGTCCGAAAATTAGAAGGGGGTGCTGTAATCACCTTAAAAACTTTCAAGAGTTGGAGCAAAATGGGAATAAAATGTTTTGCATAGCTTGTGCCAAAATAGTAGTAATTTTTTTTTAAAATGGTTCAATACGTGAAAACATCATTGCATAAACCCAATTTGCAAAAAAATTAAATCATCATACAAATCTGATTCTTATTCCTTTTTTATTTCAGATTTATTTCTGCAGAAGTCGAAAAACGTTTAATTGACATGGTATCAGAAACACTTAAGTATCGTAAAGAAAACAACATTGTTAGAAATGATTTTCTGGACGCTATGAGTCAAATCAAGACTGAAGATGGTTTGTTTAGCGAAATTGATATAGTTGCTAATGCTGCCAGCTTTTTTGGAGACGGATATGAAACTAGTTCTAGAGTAAGTATTGCGACTTAATAATAAGTAGAATACTTAATAGACTTGATTTCAAAATCACCAAGCTTATTTGAACCAATTTTAAAAGTATTTAAAATATCAATTTTGGTTTTCACTGAAAAAATTTTAAATAATTTGTATCTGTATCTGTCTAGTTATAGCAATTTTTATATTAAAAGATATTTTTTAGGTAATGACGTTTGCGATTTTTGAACTTGCACAAAATTCTGGAGCGCAAGGGAGATTGAGAGAAGAAATTAACGAAACTTTGGCTAAAAATGGAAATAAATTTACATACGAATTAATAAGCCAAATGCCATATTTGGATGCTTGTCTACAAGGTAATAAGTA